ATAGTAAAGAATTTTGCACTTTTTGCGGCAACATGCGACGAGGATGGCCACACCAGCTCGTCAGAACTGCTCCGGCAGGCCATAGAACGATTCAACCGTATGCAAGGTTAGCATCACCTCCAGCGAAATGAGTTTCGGAGTCAGCCAGAGTCTCCTATCTGAACGGGCTCGATGTTCGGATGAGGTCGCCAATGTGTTTTTCATCATTCGTCCGTCCGGTTGCAGCAACCGATGCGGAACATTCAGCCGCCATCGCTGGGAATGCTCGATTCGAAATCGTTGTGCACGCTCTGGTCGGCGACCGCTCATCATGCAACCGCGCCTGAGGGCTATTTCACTACCTCAGAAAATCAGTAGACGCTATTGACCTTGTTTTAGTAAATATCCTAAGCCATAACAGTGATTCACCGAAAAATCAGCAACCTCCATAATATCTTTCATGATATTTTGCCCCTTTTCTATAAACATTCTGCTCACGCTTATGAAAACTTTTTGCAAGTCATTAGCCATTGCTTTGCAGCACTACTATGCATATGAATAACGGCTGATACTATTAAGAGTATGTAAAGCACCGTTTAAACAGATGGACGATAGACATGCTATACAAAAGTACAAACCAATTGTCGTCTGTATTCTTAATTCAACTTGAGCGCATGCTTGGATCACCTAAAAGAAAATGATGGTTAAAACAAGCTTTAAAAAATTTTGCTTTTTTAACTTGTTACAAGTGTACAAGATAATTTGGAAACATCCTGAAGACCTATAAATATTCTCGACAAACTAGGCACCAATGACGTTTTCGGTATTTACTTACGTGAAAAATGCACAACAACTCGTGTTATTTTCTTTCGCATGTTATCGACGGCTGCTAGCATTGGGTGGCGATGCCGGCCGGATATTAGATACAGGCGAGTTCTCTACTGCATGGCGAGGATGATAGATGAGGGATGTTGAACAACGGCAGAGTTTCTCGGAGTTACTGGCGGAGCCGCTCACTCAGTCTGTCAAGCTTCCAGCCGGAGCGCGGAGGTATAGGACTCGATAGACGATCAATCACGACCACAGAGCCCGATCGATAGATGGAGTGATGCCACGGTAACTTATTAATGGTGGGAGGCAGTTGCTAACGATGTGTTTGCACAAAGGCGGGACAGCGTACCTTTCCGTGCCACCTGCATTGATCGCCTTCAAGTTTCATTATAATTAATAGCGTCATCAAATGTTAAACCAATGAATGATCGTGAAAGCGACCCGAAAGTTGGCAACACAAATATACACTCGGCGATGCGTCAACAAGCACGATTAATAGTTTCCTTGGCTTTGACTAGTTATATATTAATTAATAATAATTGTTCACCGCCATATCGACCTCTGCAGTGATACTTCAGAGAGCTACTTGATCGAATTACTGCATCATATGCCACAGCGAAATACGGTTGCGTCTTTTCTATACAGCCATTATGGTGGCATGAATTTTGATGTAAGTATCTGACGATTCAGTGGCAACGTTATGGCCGACGTGTGTGTATCGTGGTCATTTAGGCTGTGGCGCTTAAAAGTATTACACCAGCAGGGCGGCAAGTTAGTTATGATGATTTTTTCACTTCTACTCTTTGCAAGAAATATTCCTTAGTGATCACAAGCTGTCTGTCTTTGCACGTTCGCCGTTGGCCTCCAGAGCGACGGCTTTCATGATTAGATTCCCAGGAGAATTTGCTAAACTAATGATTTTATTCCCACT